GAAAAAAAAAGAAAGATAGCTAGTGTAAAATGACTTTTAAAATAGCTGTATGTGGATCACATTTTGCAGATATCGATGAATGCATCGAGTGGACCTTCAATTGTTCGGTCTCGCTGCGATGTGAGAATACCATTGGATCCTACAATTGTAGATGTCAGGAAGGCTTATATTGGATTGACAACAGATGCCGTGGTAAGCAAAATGCAATCTAACTAAAAATCTATTACGTATCAAGCTTTTTTTAGATTGACTAATTTTTGTCAACCATTACGCAAGCATTTCCTAAAATTATAGTGGAAGACATAATACAAAAATTTAAAACAATTGCTTTCGTATCTCGCATCTTTGTTCAGTTTTTATTGATATCGCCATCAAACACAGCAAGGCCATGGTGTTTTTGATGACCTTGTTTTGTAAGGACTTAGCGCTTTTATTCCATATSTCAAATCTCTCTGTTTTGCAATTCTAAGAACTTTCAACTGGAGAGAAGAAACCAACCCCTAAACCTCCACCAATGCCACCAACGCCCTCCAAGGAAAATCTTCGYAATTCTGTTAACGTTACAATCAAAGAATTCAACATTTCAGAGGTAAACACTAAACTAACGATTCTTATCCCGTGGTACATTGCCAAGGCTTCTAGATATAGCAACTAGTAAAGCTTTCTCGGCAAATGCTATGAAAATAAAGCTTGGAAATGCCTTTTCCGGTATGAAAAATGGCAGACCTTGACTCAGTCGTTCTTTAACAACTAGTCACTTTTGTTGCCAGACGGCAAGGCAATAAAGTTTATTTTTCAAGGGTTAGGGTAAAAAAAAGAATGCGATGGAATTTCGTAAGAGAGTATTTATAACTATGGACTTGATGAAGCCAGTAACTACACGAGCTTTCACTATATTTCTTTGGGCATGATTATTAAAGACCGCTTTGATCTCCTAAACATATACGTTGATATTTGTACAAGAATGGAATGAGCATACTTATGATAAGTCAGTTAAATCTGTTCGATTTTCTTCACAAAGAACGTCCCAATTATCTAGACATCAACTTTAAGTCGTTTCTTTTCAAAGTAGTTTTACGCATTTTCCATCTCATTTAATTTATTTAAATACCAATAAATGGCATGAATTACAATTTTCTATGTAATTTAAGGGCATTTATTGCTTCAAAATTCCATCTCACTACGGTGGTTTGCTCTTTTCAGTGGACTCTACAACTCGATCTTGTGTTTAAAAAGGGTGTTGCGCGTGAAGCTACGACATTTTGCGCAAAGAATAACATTTGTCTTCTACCGAAAGGACGCAAAAGGTAAGCCGATCTAGAGTCAATGGATTTTTTAGAGTAACACCTGGATTTTGTCAAATCTGTTTTAATGTGCTATCTTAATGCATTTGCAAAAATGCAAAAAGCTAAAAAAATAACACTGGTCGACGTTCGATTTAATATTAATGCATGTGTAGGAATTTCACAGAAGCACTTTTGGTCTAACACAGTAACACCTGCATTTTGTCAATCCTGTTTTAATGTGCTATCTTTAATGCATTTGCAAAAATGCAAAAAAGCTAAAAACATATAACGGGTCGACGTTCGATTTAAGACTAATGCATGTGTAGGAATTTCACAGAAGAACTTTTAATCCATACAGCTCAATGACAATTACTAATCCTCATTAACGTAACTGTCACAAAGTAGCTGCATAATCTAAGAATTTAATTAAGTCAATCTTGTTTGCTGCGTTGCCATGGAGTTGCATGTTTGCTCTTCGTTCTTCATCATTTAAAAAATGCATAAATCTGCAATCGTACGCTCATGAGTTGCTAAAAGAAAACATTTGCAAGTGTTAGAAAAAGGTAAATATTTTAATTGTATTTATATATATTGCTCACAATTCATTATTGTCTTTCGATATTTATTTCAAGACAAGTTGTTCAAAGTGCACGTAATACCTGTAAGCTATATCATATATTATATTTTTATCAGACGCTCAAACGCGTTCATTACCTTCACTTCAAACGATGTAAACCTTGTTGGTTTTCCAATACAACTGGCCAATGCACCATCTGGCAGCATGAACGCTCTTGTAGCATTTTACGTCAAATTTCCACCCGGAGTCTCTTCAAATCTTAGTGACTCTATTGACGGTGCTATACTCGTCGATATCATAAATGGTTCACTTGGTAATATCGGCAAAGACATCGGAAAGACCTTGCTGTCCGTATCAAGATACCAGACTCAAACTTCAGTTACCACAGAGTCTCCAGTAACGACGTCTTCTGGATTTTTCCCTGAAGATAATACCTCACTTGTTTATATAATTGGTGGATTAGTTGGTGGAACAATTGTTCTTATTTTACTATTGGGTCTTATTATAAGGTTGGTGAAATGCAAAATGTTAGTTCAGTTATCATACWAAKATTGTYATAAGGAAGCGAAATCAGAACAGATATTATAGACTGTATGGACATWGAAAACCCTTAATYTAGYTTATTTAAGTCCTCATTATATTCCAAATAA